CGGCTGAAAAACCATACCCTTTGGGGCCGCACATACCTATATAGCCCATATAAGGGAGTACCCCTCCCAGGATTTAGGCCAACCTAAAAGCATAGCTCCTGGGCCGGGTTGTTCAGAGCCAAATTAACGTAACCCAGGAAAAGGTAGAATTTTGATTTGATGTAACTTTGTATATTGTTTGGCCTTCTGTCTTGAGTTTTAATAATCACCATATACACAAAACAGGGCAGCAAAAAACATTTGTATAGAAGAAAAAGTTATAATTCGGTTAACTTTTAACCCTGGGTTAGCGTTAACCGGCTTCCGAACAATCCTGCCCTGTTTCCAACAAGTTAACCTGACACGGGTTTGCGATCCAATCGAAAACCAGCACGTGGTCAGCGGACAACTTCAAAAAACACGTGACCTCGATGACCTGTAATCTCTAGGCCGCGATATGTTCACGTGATACTGGTCAGCGGATACCTTGCTTTGACGGGTGTCAATTGATCATAACATGGATGTCCAATATCAAAGAAGTACACGGTAAACTAAGGCTGCATGTCTCTGTCAACCTATTATATTTGAGTATGGCCGCCATGTTGCGCGACTCCGTCGTCGTCGTCGCACGTCGTGCGTACGCGCCCACGAGCAATACCGCTAGCCATGATATCTATGAGAAAATAAACTGATGGGTTTTCTTTTCTTTCCCTTATGATTATGGGGCTCGCCTTGGCGGCCCTTTGGGCCGCCGGAGCTCCGCTAAAATGGACCTTATGCTATCTTTGCGATGCTTTATTTCAAGCAGTCATCGAGTGTTAAAAATAGGGAACAATTTGGTCCTTTTTTTATTTGCAAGGACTCTTGCTTAATTCTTTTTTTCCAAATCCTCCAGTGAAAAGGCTAAAAGTAAAAAGAGCTTTTCAGTTGTATCCGCTGTTTTGCGAGATACTACAGTATTCAGTATAACTTCCGATCTATGGTTATCCCTTATCAGTTTGCAATTGTTTTCAAATACTATGGAAGTAAATTTGCATCTTGTTTTGTTGTTTGGACAGCAGGAGTTATTTTTTCCCATCTTTAGGCAGTACAATAGATTAGATTTTCTTCTCATGGGTAATGATACAAAGTACTTGTTTGCAGTAAGTATATATTACATCCTTGTAGCAGGCATCGGAGATACTATGAAGGATGCGATAGCAGTTCATGACCTCAAAATTAAGAAGCTGCTGATGCGATGCCAAGAACGTAACATTAAGCTAAACAAGCAAAAA